TAAAGCTGCTTATTCTCATACTGAATGAGAAAGTAGCCAAGGAAAGATCTGATGGTAGAATCACAGAATTGGAATGTTCCAAATTGGAAGGGCTACAAAGAGGGTGAAGGATCTAGAAGGCAAAGAAAAGCATGTAAGGAGCAGCTGAGATCCCTGGGTTCATTCAGCCCAGAGCAGAGGAGGCTGAGGGGAGGCCTCATGGTGACCTGCAGCTCCTCACAAGGAGGCTACTGCTCTCAGACATAGAGTTTTATTTTTGGGTGATTGTGTGTGGATTCAGGAGCTGGACTCAGTACTGTGGGTAAAGCCGTAATGACATTACTGTGTATCTTTAAGTCAAGAAAAAGGTCTGTAATTCAAGTATCTGGCTCTTCAGACCTGGAGCGGATGAGATGGAAACTACGTAGTTTGGAGTTCGAGACAATGTTTTTGCTGGAAAGATCCCACTCCTTAGTTTCACTGCGGAGCTCAAGGTACCAAACACCACACAGCTCTGGGAGGAATCCCAGCTGTATGCATGCTATTATTTTTTTGTGATAAAGTTCCTCTTTCTTGATGAAAAATGCTTCCCAACAAGTCACATTCTCCATAAATCTTAGAAGGAAACATGGACAGGCATCTGTTGGCCTTCAAATGTTACCTGCTATCAGCTTTCCTTCCTCCTCTCAGGCCCAGACACCTCTCCCAGACTACCAGGACACAATGTTGCCTCCCAGCACCTCTCCTTCCATACCAGGGAGGGTCAGCTGTTTCAGTCAGGCCTTCTACCCACACACCAGGATTGCAGCTTCTCTCTGTCAGCTGAGGGGCCACCGGTCTCCTCTGTTGTCCCGGAAGAGGAAATCCTGCCTGTTGTTCTTGGATGGTACCTCAGAGATGACCCATCACTCTGATAGTGTGCTTTGCTCTGTGCTGAGCATCCAGAAACCCACGTGCCTGATGGCCACTGCTGGAGCAGGTTTACCCCAGCACATCTCAAAGGTATCAGGAAGGCAGTGATTCATTTGTCATCTATTTCTTGCTTCATCTTCCAAGTGCAGAAGGTCTGTTGGGTCCCAAGGTATCAGAGCCACAACAGTGGTACTTCACAACAGGCAGCTCCCCAGGGGTGAGTTGCAGCCAGGAAAACAGTGAGACTGAACTTACCCATGGCTATATTTTCAGTCTTCGGGTACCATCTGCAGATGGTGATCACAAGAGATGTCAGTCTGCGTGGCTGAAAAGAGGGCTTTTTTCTCAGATGTTAAGACAAGATTGATTTTAGATGTTGATGTCCATGCTTACACAAGAAGTGCAGCAGTGAGCCCCAGAAAAAGTGTGGTGTTCCTGTGTCTGTTGACTCAAAGACTCACACAACTGTGATGCTCTCTCAAGGAAGATACACTCTCCTAAATATCAGGTTGGATATTAGGAAAAAATTCTTCCCAGAAAGCATGGTGAGGCACAGGCTGCCCAGGGAGGTGGTGGAGTTCCCATCCCTGGAGGCATTGAGAAAGGTGTGGATGTGGCACTGAGGGACATGGTTAGTGGGTGTGGTGGTGATGGGCTGATAGTTGGACTAGATTATCTCAGTGGTCTTTCCAGCCTTTATGATTCTGAGATTCTATGAAATACACATCCATGGAGAGACTTTTGAGAACTGCAGTGCAAACCATGGAAGACCAACATCCAAACTATGCTTTACTTTGAGGAGTTCCCATGCCCCAGGGCCACCAGCCCAGGAGATTGCCTGGTGCCACATCTTGGGGATCGGGAGGGAAGACCAGTCTGAAGAGCTCCTGGCCAAGCAGGGGTAGCTCTCTGCTCTCTGGGAGGTGTCCTTGTTGGGCAGATGGCTGAAGGTTCTAATGTTGTGTCTGGAGTTAGTGAGGTCAGCTCAGCAGGTACATATGGACTAGACGGGTGGAAACATCTGAACTGAGGAACTTAGGGCAGACAGGGTCTCCTGCTGCACTCCGAAGCCCCACTTCATTTATCTCTGCTCTGTCAGATAGGAAAAAAAGAAATGTGCAGTGTGAAAATCGAAATGTTTATTTTTGTTTGAATTTGTCTGGTTAGCATTGGCTTTTTCATGTCTGCTTCACTGTAGCACATCTGTGTTCCCCAAACCCAGCAGTAACAGCACACTATTCAGTGTACATAAGGAGAAAGTCCATGCTTCAGTTATGTCAGCTTGGAACTGTTTGGATACATTACATGCTGAAATGGAAACTCGTAAAAAAGAGTGTTGAAACTGAATTACTGTTTCCCCCTTCGTTATTAGAAAAAAAGAATTATGAAATCATTTTCTTGTTAAAACTAATATGTATTTAGTGTACTTCTTTTCAAGCTAACATGAAACTTTGTGAAACCTACATTGTTAACATGCCTGATTTTTCACAGAGTTAACAGAAATGTGGTTACATCAACCTTTCATTGTATGCAGACTCAGTTATGCACGGCAGCCTTTGTTATGCACTGACCGTGAGCTCGCTCACGTGACCGTCTCAAAAACCTCACACAATGGCATAAAAAGGCTCTCTTCTGGTCAGCAACACCAAATTTGGAGTAAAAAAGAAAGGAAAAGATTTCAAATGATTACCTTTATTTGCAAGAGGATGTATTTTAGTAGAAATTACTCTGATGCATCATTTATCATTTTATAGAATCACAGAATCATAGAAGCGTTTGGGTTGGAAGGCATCTTTAAGATCATCTAGTTCTAATCCCCCATTTTATGCAATAATGCAATTTTAACTTAGAAGCTGACAGCATCAGGTATTGTTCAAATAAGTGATTTTGATCACCTGAAATCCTACTTCAAAAGAAATCCATCATCAACTTCCACAGACAGTGATCTGCTTGTGACAGATTGTAATGACAGATTGTATCTGTCACAAGCACTGTTAGAGGGATTTCTGTTTGGAAACTTTTACAACACTTAGAAGTCTGAACAGTTGAAAATTATGAAAATTGAAAATGAGTACAGGTAGCAAATGAGTATTACATATAAGGTACGTGCCTGCTGACACTTACTGTTTATTTTCTGAGTATAATTGCTGAACTTCTGGCCTAAGACATGTGGAAATCAAACAGGTACTACAGCAATATATAGTCAGTGGCACTGGTGAAGTCACATCTTGAGTACTGTGTTCAGTTTTGGGCTCCTCACTACAAGAAAGACACAAAGGCCCTGTAGTGTGTCCAGAGAAGGGCAATGAATCTGTGAAGGGTATGGAGAACAAGTCTTATGGGGAGCACTGAGGGAATGGGGATTGTTCAGTCTGGAGGAGGCTCAGGGCAGATATTGCTCTCTGCAATTGCCTGAAGGGAGGTTTTGGTGAGGTGGGGGTTGGCCTCTGCCCCCAGGTAACGGTGGTAGGATGAGAAGTAATGGCCTTAAGTTGCACCAGGAGAGGATCAGGTTGGATCTTAGGAAACATTTCTTAGGAAGAGTGGTGAGGCAGTGGCACAGGCTGCCCAGGGAGGAGGTCACCGTCCCTGAAGGTGTTCAAGAAATGTGGAGATGTGGCACTGAGGACATGTTCAGTGGGCATGATGGGGATGGGTTGATGGTTGTAGTAGATGATTTTAGTGGGTTTTTTAGTTTTTTTTTCAACTTTAATGATTTTATGATTTTCTAAGTGTTATAGTAACTGAGAAACATAATCATCACTGAGCTGTGCCCCGAAGCTCCCTGTGACCAACATCACCACTTCGATTTTCTGCAGCCACCTTTGGACCTTTCAGCACCTACCAGCAGCACGTGACACAGATGCCATGAGATGTCTGCTTGCAAATATTAGAATATGAGTAACATTTTTGTATTAAATAAATACTGGCTTATACTGGGGAAAAATATAATTATAAGGCAAAATACTTAGTGTTATAAGAACATTACCTGTTAAAAGGAAAAGTTACTTGTCTCCAAGCATGTTACATGTGCTCAGAGATCACTAATGAATGTGAGCCAGTGAGAAATGCTGCTTGTATGACAATTTCCAATTGTACCTTTGCTGGATTTATGTATGTGGTCACCATAAACACCCCTTGTAACTAGCAAATGAGCAGAATCATGGCAGGAACAGACTTGTATTTCCTATCTGGCCAAATAAGCAAAGGCAAGTTGAGGAATTTGTACTGTCGTTTAAATAAGGGCTCCCTGCTTCTCCCCTGTGGGATGATTTCTTTTGACAGGTTTCCAGTACTCGTAATCAAACATTTGGTAACCTACAGAAGAGGTTCTGTTTCCTACACCCTGTGTTCATTGTTCTTACTTGAAAGCCTGTCTCTTGCACTATTGCCACTAGCAGAGGTGAGGATTAGCCATTCCAGACTTAGAGTTACAAGGTTGGGAGGCAGATGCATGATGCAGAACTTGGCCCCAGCAGGAGCTGTTTGCTGGTGGCCATGCTTGTGGCACACATCAAAACTCTAGAAATCACAAAAGGCTATTTGGTTCTTGTATAATTTAAGGCAGCAGCATCACAGATATTTCTCCTCAAGAGGAGATGTGGGGAGTTTGGGCTGGAGGAATGCAGAACATCTCCACAGATGTGCAGGGGCCACAGTAGCAGTTGCAAGTGAGCTCAACAAACCTTGGCCCTTGAGGCAGACAAGCAGCTCAGGTTTTCCATAAGTTTTGCCAGGTTTGGCCAGAAAAATGCCAAGAACTGTAACTGTTTCTAACATGGTTTACTGTCTAATGCTCCTTGTTCTGACCACAGAGGCTTCCTTCTGAGGAAACCAGTCTTAGTGAGACTTTCTCAGCAAATGAGCATGCGTGTCTGCCCTTGGCAAGGCATACTCTCATGGTACATTTATCACAGAATCATATAATCATTTGGGCTGAAAGGGACCCTTGAAGGCCATCTAGCCCACCCCCTGCCGTGACCATGGACACCTACAGCTCTATTAGGTGCTCAGAACCACATCCAGCCTGACCGTGTCTCCAGGGACAGTGCACCTGCCACCTCTCTGGGTAACCTGTGCCAGTGCCTCACCACCCTTATTATAAAATCTTTTTCTTTAAATCCAGTCTAAATCTCCCCTCTTTTAATTTGAACCCATTTCCCCTTGTCCTACCATAGCAGATCTTGCTAAAGTCAGAATCCCTTCATCACCTCATGTGTTCACAGGAACTCAAGATCTCTCTTTTGACCAAAAGCAGCTGCTCATGGACTGAAAACGATTTAAGAAAAGTGTAATGTCATGCGCTTGATCTCCCTTCCTGTACCAAAGGAAGTTTTTTATTCTCAGGTATTAAACACAATACTGATGATAGCATTGGATTCTCTTTAATTTGATCCAATTATCTGGGTATCCTGGGATGGGTTTGCTCTTTCTACCCTAGCCAATTCTATGTTGTTTTTCTTAATGACAGACAGAAAAATAGACCTTTCACAAAGTCCAAATGAAGACTCCTTGTAGTCTGCGCTGTGTCACAATCTCAATGTATGGAGCTGATGAGGCTGTTCCAGCCTTTAATACTGTCTAAGCTTCCCTTCCTGAAACAGTAAGGTTGGATCTATTTATTCCTCTAGCAACAATTCAGCGAAGTGATACTCATGAACCAGAAATGTGCTACAAAAGCTCATCTTCAAAATCTCCTCAAAGACAAGGTTCTGTAAGGCAGTTTAAGCCCTTAAAAGATTCCTAGTACTCTCCTTGGTACCTGCTTTGTCTGATAGAGTTTAGTAACCTGAATGCTGACAGAGAATCACATAAAAATCTAAGTTTTAGCAGAGCTTCCAGACCTGCATTCAAACAAATCAGTTTATGACAAATTCCCTATTTCTCACAGAATAGCAGGGACCTCTGGATCCCTCTGCCCAAGCCCTGCCCCAGGAGGGACACCCAGAGCACGGGTGGCTTTGGCAGATCCCTAAGGAGAAGACCCCAGAGCCTCTGGGCAGCCTGTGCCAGTGCTTATGTGCACTTCAAAAACACAGTGGCTGGCAGGTTGTGGGCTTGCATAGGATCCTCTTTTATTTAGGTGATGTACTGAAGCTTGACTCACACAAGTTGCTCCTTGTGGTTTGGGGGATTTCATTGGTATGAGGAGTTAGCGTGCTGCTTTGACTCTCTTCTTCTCCAAAGAGCTTCCCTTATGGATTCTCCATTGAAGCTGGAAGAGAAACCATGTTACTTCACTATGGGGATGACACCAATAAGAATGTTGCCCCTGAGCATTAGCACATTTTTTTTTTGAACATGAAAATAAGTGGTGGAAATCGTCTCTGGAGATGGAGTGGGATTTTGGTATAAGAAACACATGCAAGATGCAATGAGGAGGGAAGGCTTTCAGGAATTATAGTTTTTTCAGAGGCAAAGAGGCTGATGGTTTGGCAGTGGTGGGGGGCACCTTCATTTGCCGCAGTGACACAGCTTTGTCCCAAGCTGGAAAGCTTCTTCTTCAACCAGAAGAGACTGCAGAAATTCTTAAGGCTAGAAATGCAAATACTACACTTACGCTGCCTTGCATAATGAATACTAGAAGCAGAAAAGATCATCTTCAAGACTGCAGGGAGTATATTGTTTACTCTGCAGTCACACCAAGAAATAAAGTGTTGCACTGTAAACCAGTAAAGCACTTTGAGTGATTTGACACAAACAAAGTGACAGTGGTTTAAACTATATAGATGATAAGAATGTGCCTGTTCTTTTCTGAGAAAGAACACAGAGGCTTAATGTTTTATGAAACAGAATTTCAGTGCACAAAATAGAGGGTTTGGAATTATTTAGCTGCAAGTACCCGGGAGAAGGCTCACCCTTGAGAAGCCCTTCTGAGAGGAACTGAACCAGCCTGCTTGTGCTGGTGAGGCGTTCAGGTCAGAATAGGCCACCAAAGCATCATTTGGGTTTTTTCCCCTTCAACAACCTCAGCTCAAAAACGGAGCTGGTTCAGCACTAGACCTTCTTCTTCTCAGATCTCTCAGGCACAAATGCTGGTTGCCCTTTCTGGCATCACTCAGCCTTGTTGTCAGAGGCCTTCACCTCCTGCACACTTGTACCTGGCAGGCTGCAAGGAGGGAGGCCTGTTCTTAGTATTCGCCCTGATCTGATTAAACAACTGAAGTGTTGCAGTTTCTCTCTGATATCTGGTACACAATCCAATGATTTAACTGCATTGGAAATGTGCTGTGGCAGTTCTGTCAATGGCTTTACTCCATGAAGGCAACAGATTCCTACGAGAGAAAATACAAAAAATTCCTAGATGTATGAAATTAGTAATGGATTTGGAAACACCAAAACAGGCATCCTGAAAATACAACTAGCCATACAAAACACTTAAATATGTGTATCATTTCTACATTCATTGATGACATACAGTAGAAGCTGAGTTAAATCCTTTGAGACAGGCTATGTGGGAAGTATAAGCTTTGAAGGGATTGTCATGGTAAAAACTAAACCTGAGCTCCTAAATCCTATTAACTGTTCAAATAGGATACAATCAACCTTTTCTGTCCTTTCTGCGTTTGCTCACTCTCCTTGTGAACTAACAGCTTATCCAGTCACAGTTTAAATCCTTGGAGCTCCTCACCACACCAGCATCTCATGCAAACCTTTTCTGCTATTCTGCCTGTAAGAACTGGCCTGGGGAGAATGGAGCCTTTTGCAAACATAACATTAGATTATGCCTTATTGAAGGATAAGGAAGAGGTAGAATTATCATTACAGCTCCTTCTCTGTCCATGCTTCATTCAAAGGATCACAGAATGACTTAGGTTGGAATGGACCTTAAAGATCATCTAGTCACAACCCCCTGCCATGGGCAGGGCTGCCATCCTCCAGAACAGGCTGCCCAGGCCCTGTCCAACCTCTCCTTGAGCCTCCACAGATGGAACATCCGCAAATTCTCTGCTCAACCTGCTCCAGTGCCTCACCGTTGAGTAAAGATTTTCCTCCTAACATCTAATCTAAATTTCTCCTCTTTTAGTTTAAAGCCATTCCCCCTTGTCCTGCCACTACTAGACCATGTAAAAAGTCCGTCCTCCTCCTTCCTGGAAGGTCAAAGTTAGGTCTCCACATAGCTCTCTCTTCTCTAAGATGAACAAGTTCAACTCCTTCAACCTTCCTTCACAGGAAAGTTGCTCCAGCCCTTTGATGATCTTTGTGGCCCCCTCTGGACTGGCTCCAATAGCTCCACACCCTTCTTGTGATGGGGGCCCCAGACCTAGACACAGTACTCCACATGGGGCCTCGTGGGGGCAGAGCAGAGGGGGACAGTCACCTCCATCTCCCTGTTCCCATTCCTCTTTTGATGTATCCCAGGATACTGTTGGCCTTCTGGGCTGCAAGAGCACACTGCTGCTGGCTCATGTCAGGCCAGAGCTCCTAGGTCCTTCTCCACAGGGCTGCTCTCAAAGAATTCTTCTCCCAGTCTGTAACACATATTTGAGATTTTCCCAAATACTTGCACTTGACTTTCCTGAACCTCATTAAGCTCTCATAGGCCACTTCTCAAGCCTGTTCAGGTCCCTCTGGATAGCATCCCTTCCTTCTCTGGTGTCAACTGCACCAATCAGCTTGGTGTCATCAGCAAACTTTCTGATGGTGCACTCGATCCCACTGTCAGTATCATTAACAAAGATCTTGGAAGAGCACTGGTCCCAAGATTGTCCCCTGGGGCACAACACTCATCACCAGCCCCCACCTGGACATAAAGCCATTGACAACAACTCTTTGGCTGCAAACATCTAACCAATACTTTATCCACCGAATAGTCCAGCTTTCGAACCCACCTCTCTCCAATTTAGTGATAAGAATGTGGTGCAGGACCAGGTCAAAGCCTTGCAGAAGTCCAGGTAGAAGACATCCTTTGTCCACTGATGCTGTCACTCCATCACAGAAGGCCACCAGGTTGGTCAGGAACAGTCTGCCTTTGGTAAAGCCATAGTGGCTTTCTCAGATCACTTCTTCATCTCATGTGTACCTTAACATGTCTTCCAGGAGGACCTGCTCATCATACTCCATCCTGCTTGCAACAGAAAGAACATGGATTTAACTGCCTTTCCTATCAGCAACAGACTGAAACAGGACAGTGAGCATTACAACAAGGAGGAACTTCAGATACTAAAACAAAGTCTGCTAAAAAGGAAGTGCAGTGTATGTTTACTACCACTCATGCCCTTGATCTTCCATCCCAAAGACACATCTGACGCCCTTTTGTGATTGACAGCTTTATGGGGCACCTCTCCTGTTTTCCCACCTATTTACACAGCTTCTCAACAGGACAAAGTAATAGAAAATAAGAAAACAATTTTTTCTGCATTATAGAATCACAGATTCACATAGTGAGCATTTTCAAGGCAATTAACATTGTAATTACTCTACAACCACAACTTTCTTTTCAGTAATTTATTCTTAGTTCAGCAGTTACAACACCTAAGCTGCCTTTTTCTCATATACCCAAAATGACTGCACATTTATTAATATGAAAAAAAAACCAAACAAACAAGCCCACAAATGATTTTCTGGAAGAATGCATGCGTTTTTCACACTAGACATTTCCCAGTATCTTGAAGCTATGACTTTACCTGTGGGTTATTCAACACCAGAGCTCCAACTGAGGAGATGCAGAGCACTTTCCAGGTGCATTTCTCAGTTGAGTTGTGCCAGAGGTCTGTTACAGAGATGGCCAGAACAGCCACGTTGCCCCTTCCTGCTTTCCTCTCAAGGTGGAAAATGAAGGTGGGATTCAGATACACATCACTAGGGAGCTCTGTGTAGGGCAGAACATGGCACATTTTTCTGTACAGCGATTTGTCAGGTAGCACCTTACACTCCAGCCTGATTCTAGCCCAGCTGCTGGCAGTTCCCACAATATGTATATACATACTTGTTCTAATCATTACAAAATCTAATGGCTTTTGTTTTTCTTCTTCCAGAAAGAAGGCTTTTTATTGCATTTTGCATTATTGTTCAAATTTAGGAATTACAGGTATACATTCAGCCTTGACTCATTTTTTACTGCAGTACTTCAGTAGTTTACATTTGGTCGAATCACACTATGCCCATAAAAAACATTATTGCTGGTGGTGGAATAGCTCCATCTTCTGGAATAAAACTTATTTTCTTGTCAACCATCTTCATGTTTCCAACTTGGATCCATATTTAAAAATTACTTTAAATTACAACTTAAACATCCCACTGATGGAAAGTGAATCCTGGGTAGAAAATGTGAGGATTTCACAGTATGATTTCTGATAAAATTCAGGAATTATTATTTTCTAACCAAATTGAAAACGTGCATCCATTTTGAGTATACCACACTAAAAACTGATCTTATCATTTAAGGAATAGCCATTATCTGATTTTGAGAACAATAATTTAGTTTCTGTTTAAGACTAAACAGTCAACATGCGCACGTTTAACTTTAGTTCTGATTCAGGGTACTTTGAGTTTCACATTAAAAATTTGTAAAATTACAGAAGTATGTTCGTGTTTAAACACTGTCCTAAACAGGGAGGGATGTTCCCCAGGGGTTGGGACTGGGGCCTGTCCTGTTCAGTATCTTTATTGATGACCTGAACGAGGGCACTGAGCGTACTGTCAGTAAGTTTGCAGATGACACCAAGTTGGCTGGAAGTGTCGATCTGCCTGGCGGGTAGGAAGGCCCTACAGAGGGATCTGGACAGGCTGGATAGCTGGGCTGAGGCCAATGGAATGAAGTTCAGCAAGATCAAGTGTCAGGCCCTGCACCTTGGCCACAACTGTAGGCAACGCTACAGGCTTAGGGCAGAGTGGCTGGAAGACTGTGTAGAAGAAATGGATCTATGGGTAATGGTCAGTGCTCAGCTGAACACAAGCCAGCAGTGCGCCCAGGTGGCCAAGAAGGCCAACGGCATCCTGGCTTGTATCAGCAATGGTGCAGCCAGCAGGAGCAGGGAGGGGATCATCCCTCTGTACTCAGCTCTGGTGAGGCTGCACCTCGAGTACTGTGTTCAGTAGAGGAGGCTCAGGGGAGACCTTACTGCTCTCTACAATTACCTGAAAGGTGGTTGTGGTGAGGTGGGGGTCAGCTTCTTCTGCCATGTAACTAGAGGTAGGACCAGAGTGAATGGCCTCCAGTTGTGCCAGGGGAGATTCAGGTGGGATGTTAGGAAATACTTCTCAGAAAGAGTGGACAGGTGCTGGAACAGGCTGCCCAGGAGGCGGTGGAGTCACGGACCCTGAAGGTGTTCAAGAGACATTCAGATGTTGTACTAAGAGATGTGGTTTAGTGGGGGAGAGTGGTAACGGGTGGACAGTTTGACTGGATGATATTTTCCAACCTTAGTGATTCTATGATTGAATCTCATGCTGAAGTACTCTAAATCTGAACTATGGAGAATACAAGTGATCCTCTCTTTTCATAGCATTTGAATGAAAGATTAAAAGAAATATTTCACATCAAGCACACTGCATTTTAAGCAGGTAAATGGTTCCTGTACTTAAAACTTAACTTCTGATCAAGTCAGGTGTTCAACTGGAGCAGGCAGAACAAAATGGTGAATGATTCCTTATTTAACTTCTTCTGTGTTACGTGGCACATTCTATGGCTGTTGCTTCAAAAACAAACACCAAAAAACACCCTTAAGTTCTTACTGCACTCACAAAGGGAAGAGTACTGAACTTAGAAGTGATCTACCAAGTGTTTCCCTGTGCTACTTCTTGATTTCACAAGAAGGACAAAGCCACCAAAAAGAAATGAAAAATAAGATATACATCTCCACTACTTTTGAAATACTGGTATATCTAAAGTCAATACATATTCATGGACATACGAGAATAGTAAAAATTTAAATGAACTTGCTTTACAAAACAAAGCAACCGAAGCTTTATTTCTCTGTGTAGAAAGGTGAGTATCCAAGTGCATTCTTCTTAAGCTAAGGAAAACAAAAAAGTCATGCTGCCCTTGCAAGAAATGAGACCTAAGGTGGTATGTGTATACACACACGCATATATGCATATATATATATGCACATACATACACAGACAGAAAATTTCCCCCTTTCATAAATGATTCTTCTCAACACACTTGAAGTCAGTTAAGAAAGCAAAACTAATGACTACTTTTTGTAGGAGAATATTTTACCACATTTTTTTCAGAACAATAGCAAAATCATTGCATGAATCACCACATTGCTTGCATCAGTTCAACAAAAGCAAGGAACAAAACTTGAGCAGATCTGGAAATCAGACTCCTTATGCAGAATAAGCACAATGAAAGGATACAGAACATATGAAAGGCATTTTCTTCAAAAATTTATCAGCGTTCTGCAACATCACGTGTCATATGGCTTTTGTATGGAGGCATTAGTTAAGAGAATTTTCCCAGCCAATGTCAAGTACTGACTGTATTTAAGTACAGCAATGCAAGAACAAACAAGTTCAAATTTAGTATACCATATTACTTTATGTAATACAGCATCAAAATTCATTTTGCTAAGGCTACAAAGGACAGATTTACAGTGATATGAGGTACCAGCATTTATGGTCAGAAAAGTAAAGACAGAAAAGAATTATATAGCATTGTCATCAGACATTTTTCTCTTTTTCTTTTTTTCCCCACTTTTTCCTTTGGATTTTTTTTTTTTCTTTTGTCTCCCTTTTTTAAACAAAATACATGTCATGATGATCACATGCTTTAAGCTTATGTTCATTTATTTATATATGTATATATATATTATTTGTAGGGGCAATTGAGAGAGAGTCACAAATAAGGAAAGGACACTAAGGTTTTAATAAGGGCAACAAAAAAAAAAGTTTTCACCAGAATAGATTCACATTACAGTACACCAATATTGACAGCATTCTCTTTTGTCTATTTTTGGTACATAAGATGGAATCTCTCTACATAACCTTATAAGGCTTCAGTAACTAAAAAGTAAAAAACCTATTAGTTTACAATTTATTTAAAAATTCTCAAAGACACAGCAAGTTCTAAACTTTAGTAGTGCTACCCATACACAACCATTCGGTTTAAGAACCCATTAAAAGAGTGTCCTTTCAAGGGAGCTTGCAACAGTAGAGTTGTGCAATATGGATGTCTCTTACTACGAGAAAAAAAATTACACATGGCACATTCTCATTCATATTTTGCAATGTAAAAAGTTACAAACATACCTAGTCAAATAAATAATAATAAAAAAAAATCTGAAATGTGTTTGTTAGGTATCCTAGCATCACTACGCAGAATAATGGAAACTTTCACTCACAGACTATTTACATGTTAATACCCAGGTGAGGGTACACAATGCTACAAAACTCATAAAACAAAGGGTAAACTTGAAATGTTCTCCATAATAAAAGTCTAGCAGCATGACTATATCTAATGCTGTTTTTTTCTTGACTGTTTTTGGAAGTTTGTTTTAATCTATGTCTTCATCCAGTTCATAATTGTCTTTTTCATAAATATCTTTTACTAAAAGAACCCGTACAAGCATATTTTCCAAAGTGTTGCGGTCCAGTGAGGTGGAAGTGTACCAGACAGAACTATCTGAGGAGACAGAGCATTCTGGCTGCAAATAGAACATGTCCGTCCTCTGATTCAGATTCTGTGGGCTACAACAGAGAAAAATAAGGGAATTAGGATAACAGTTTTCCAGCATAAATTAATACATTACTATTTCTGACATTCTATATTAACAAAACTCTACTTTTACCTTGACCTGTTACAAAATGAAGATTACTATGGAGAAATGCTATCATGTTCATAGAGCTGTGCAGCCACCCGGTCCTGTATCCTCAGGACAGCCCAAAGCTGATGCCTAGGACTGAGCAGGAGTATACGAGACTGAAAACTCTTCCAGTTTTGCAAAACTTTGCAATTCTAGGACTTGCTAAAACAGAAAATATTTTCTGTTTCTGAAGACAGAGACTGGGCTTCCCTTGGAAATCAAGGATGGTAGTTCTGAGCTGCATGGAAGTGCAACAAGAAGCTAAACTCCCTCCTCCTCCTATTTACTTGAAGAGTTGGTCACTAAGTCTTAAAATCCCTTAATTCTCAACCTGTTATATCTTGCAGTTCATATACTTGCTCGATCCAACTCAGGCGTATCTTCTAACCCACTAACAAATACTTTTATTTCGCCCATTCAGGCAAGAAAATATTTTTCAATCCTGCATACAAGACCTCACTCATTCTGTCTCTTTCATGAATACTGTGGACTTCAGAAATCAACTGTAATTCATGTCACTTTGGTAAAACTATCAAGGTCATCTTCCCAGATTGGCTGATAAAATTACAGGTGTTGCTTTTCACTCCAGTAAATTTTGATTTCTTCTGCTCTTACATAAGTCAGATTATCAGATTAGAAGCCATAATGTGATGCTTTATTATATTCTAATAGTTAAACTATATTCAACTCCTTCCTACATTTTGGACAAGCCAGTATTTTTATAGGAACAAGCAATGATGTATTGCTTACAGCTGTGAATGAGAGGACTCACATTTCAGCTGCAACTGTCTACTAGTTGGCACATGTACTTCAAACAGCTGGCTTTACCTCAAACTTTACAATAGTTCAAATATACATACATTCATATATACACTACATTTTAAAGTATTAAATACTTTTACAAAATTATTTCAAAGATGCAATGTACACATTGCAGAAGTGGAACCAGGAGAAACAGTCTGCTGCTCTCGCCAGTAGTAGTGACCAGCATCTGTAGGAAAGTGGGACTAGCTGACAAATTTTGCAATTTTTGACAACTTCAAAGTAAAAATCAACTTATCTGCACTATGTTTCAAACCCTAACAGCGTTCAAAATAAAAATTAATTTATGGTAAGCTAAAGTTATGGCAAATAGTGGTACACATTTTGATACGTTGGCTAAACACAGCCCTGTGAACAGCAAAAATATGAACTGTGCTTTCCATTTTGATACAGGAACTTGAGAACAGGTTTCAAGATTTCTGAAAAAAATTATCAGAAATTATTAGTTTCACAAACGCAAGGTCAAATCTCCCACTACTTTTACATTTTTGTTGCCCTTTTTTATATGTTTAAAAAAAGTTTTGCTACTTAGATACATCAATTATATATTCTATGTGCAGCCCAAGTCAATTCCTCTTCACTCAAAGTGACTCAGGGAAACCAAAAGGTTGCATACTCATTGTTCACACCATTCTTCACTTTTCAGAGTAAGATACTGCTTCCCAATACAGGCTGGATCTTATATTTCATTTGATCTACTGTGCTGCATACACAATGCAATTTTTCTTTTCTTGTATCACTTGCCTATATTCTACCTACACTTATATACATTAAATCTCCATTAAAATCAGTTGATGCAGTGGCTGCTCAATATTGACAAAAATAATATTTTAAAAGAGTATTTCCAATGAAATCCTGTTCTCAAACACTTACAAAACATTCAGCTGCTAAAGTATTTTTTTTGCAAGATCGTCCTAAGTTTTCTTCTTAATGTATTAATACATTGTTAAATGCATGAATCTCTAAACCAACAGGAAGGAAACAAGCTATTTCTAAATGCAGAGTCAATTATGATCATATTTTTTCTTCTGCAAAATACTTTTAGATATGTTGTCAAATTAGGTACCTCAAAAGTATCTACCTTTCAAATTTGTGATGACTTAACATGAAGCAAATCTTTTTCATACAATCAGAGAATCAGAGAATTAAGGTTGGAAAAGACTTCTAAGATCATCCAGGTCCAACTGTTCACCAACCAGTAATATTGCTCACTAGACCCTAAATACTACATCAATCCTTTCCTTAAACACCTCCAGGGATAGTGATGCCATCACCTGCCTGAGCAGCCTGTGCCAATGCCTCACCACTATTTCTGAGAAAAAAATGTTTCTAATATCCAACCCGAACCTCCCCTTGTGCAACTTAACCTCCCGTTCTATCCCTGTTTCCCAGGAGAAGAGGCCAACCCCCACCTCACCACAACCTCCTCTCAGGCAGTTGTAGAGAGCGATACATTCTCCCCCGAGCCTCCTCTTCTCCAGACTGAACATTCCCCACTTCCTCAGCCACTCCCCATAAGACCTGTGCTCCAGACCCCTCACAGCTTCATGGCCATTCTCTGGACATGTTCCAGGAACCAAATTTTCTCAACAAAACTCTTACTGAAGAGACACAGATGTCACAAACAACATTCCAGCAGCAAAATCTACCACATTCCTTG